AGAGAGAGAGAGAGAGAGAGAGAGAGAGAGAGAGAGAGTCAGACAAGTAACTTAGCAGTTTTGCTATGGAACCATCGGATGACACGACTTATGGAGCCATCCATACTTATTCACAAATAGTGTATTGACATGTGTCAATATATATTAAGAATGGATGAATTCGTAAGAAAACCATCCGATGGCTCTATAGAATTTCTGAGTAACTTAGTCATAACTCATAACTATCTAATGATAATATAACTAATCATGTGAATGAATATATTTCACATTTCAACTTACAATCAGAATCTGTCTTGATCCAATGCCCTGCATTTACCGGTGAAGAGCCCCTACAAACTCCAGTGCAGAATAGTCTCATGGTGTTCTTTTTACTCTTATTGGTGGCTGGTTGATCAGAGTTGTTGTGGCCAGCAAGATGGTCTTCCTTGCTGTAATTATATTTGTTCTTTTTGTTGCTTTTTGTCACCTTGAAAAACCGTTTGCCGGTCATCTCCTCAGGATAAACCTTCTTCTGAAATATTTTGACAAGCTTCTGCATTTCATCACATCAGAAAGTGAGAACCTTTAATCAATATATCTAATTTTCCCATTATTGTTCTCCTCAGAGAGTATGTGATGATTCTCCAAATCAACAGAAAGAGATTCAAAACAATATCATCCTCAAAATCGCTGATCACGGGAAGTGAGCTTAGGAGCTGATTTTAAACACAAATATCATTTTAAGCGAACGCTATTATCGGAATTAAGCATCACGCGTATCGTAACTCTGCCTATTAGGTCAAACCTTCAGCCTTCTTCTAAAGATGGAAAACAAAGGAACTCAACAAAGTTCTAATTTAAAAACAAAACGAACCTTAGCCAATTTCTTCTTGATCGGCAAGGAAACAGCAGCATTATCATCACCATCATCATCAATGTCATCAAAACCAGCAGTACTGTTACTTGATGTGGAACTTAACCTCTTCACAACCTTCTTCACCAAACGAGCCACGTTCCCTTTTCCACCCACACCTTCGCCTTTCTTCACAGAAGCACCACCATCACCACAATTTTTTCCCTCCTTAAAAAGCTCCTCAAGAGACATTCTCGTTTTCTTCACCTCCTCACGACCTGTCTCGGCCAAACCAATGGGGGCTGCAAGAAGATAATTCTGAAGTGGACATGAAGCTAATACTTGAACATGGCCTTGATCGGTTAAGGTTATCACGCTAGCCCGGCTGCTCCTCTTGGATGAGTCGTACCCTGTCTCAACATCCTCGGACTCGAGAAATTTTTCGAGCTCGTGGCTTATGAGGTCAAGGTCATTCTCAGTGATCTCGATTGGTTGACCGGTCAAATCTTCCTCGCCCGGAGCAGGAAGAGTTGGAGTCGGCGGGCCCGTGCTGAGAAGAAGCTCGGTTCCAAAGGTTCCGATCGAGAGGAAGTCGAAGGGCTCGTCGTACGCATTGGCGTTCGGGGATCTTTCGCGTTTGAGGCTTGGGCGTGTTGTGGGTGTTTTCGTAGGGTCGATATAGTAATTTTGATCGTCCGAGGAGATCGTGTGTGTTGAGGAGAAGCAAGACGAACGGCTTTCTGCCATGATCGGAAAAAAATAAATTTTAGATTAGTCTCGTAGATTATCGATGGTTAATAAAAAAGAAGTTTACCAATTGTGTAACTTTTCACAGAATCTGTGCTGTTCTGCATGAGCTTACGGTGCATCCAACCGAGTAACTGCATCCATATATATAAACAGAAAATAAAAAGTTAGTAACTTTGTCATAATTTATGTTAGTGTGAAGTCATATTTTCAAAATTTGAAGAGTTCTGCACTTACCTTCATCTTGATTATCACAAGAAGGAAAACAATGGATATTTTTCTTTTCCTAAAGGACAGGGAACAAGTGCAGGTATGTTATAAAGATCAGTAAGATCTGTTTTATTATTTTAGTATAAAAATGGAAATTTGTGGGTTCCTATAAGGGGCCCAAGATGAAGCTGTGAGCAGAGAAGAACAAAGAGAAGATTACAAGAAGATACAAAAGAACTGTTTTTACAATGTAGCAAAAATATAGAGGGATGGGCTCAAAGACCCACATGGGCTTCATCAGAGTTGGCTGATATATGTGCTCACTTGACTTTCATGTCGGTTTTGCGACTAATGATCGACCCTCGTCTACCCATCCTAACGATGTACATGCCCGCAGAGTATCCTATTCTATATTCTATTCGTTCTCTTTTTTTTTTTCGCGGTGTGATACGTAATTTTCATGTGTGAAAGATGGTATTAACAATATGATTTGATTCTCGGGACTCTTGATACCGGAAAAATAATCGATACTTGAAACTGAAATATATTCGAAAAAACTTGTATCGGTGCACAATGCGCCACGAGTGTGTAGATTCTGAACATTCCTGTTTGAAAATAAACAAAGATGTGCACAAGTGAGAGGCTCTACATGTCTGTACAATTTGCAGAAAAAATTGATAAATCAGACTAACTATTTGGCAATCAATCTAATCAATCGATGCTTTTCATGGAGTCGGGCTCCTAATCCCGTTTATCTATAGATATAATCCAAAAGGGCTTTGGAAGGGTGTGCTTAACCATGCTCGACTAACTAACTTATACTGCTGTTGGCTTCTGATTAATTAGGCAAAGTGCAATTGATATTGTTATATGTAGTCATGTCAATATTGCCTTTAACGTTTTGATTCATAGTGAAAGATTTAGACAAGATTGATGACATAAAATGTTGAGGGCCCTCTCTCTCCCTCTATTTTTTCTCAGGTTTGTGTACATATTTGGCGGGGTGTGGTGTTGAGGAGTGGGGGGCCTCTCTCTCTCTCACTCTCTGTGTTTTTTTTTTTTTCATCTCTACGAGGATTTGGAGTTGGGGGAGTGGCTTATACAGTAATTGTTGTTTGGTTGAATAAATGAATGTTGTTCCCAATTAAGTGATTGATCACTATACGAAGTAGAGTATTGATTAAAAGTATCTTTTATCAATATAAATATAAATGAAATGTATATAAATTAGGGGGAATAATTTTTTACAACTTGTACTATACGCGTATTTTTGCAACTTAAAGGTTTTTTTTTTTTTTT